CCGTCGTGTCCTCAGATGTGATCGGCGACGGCGACCTCTCGCGTCCGATTCTAGTTCAGACTATTGTACGGAATAAGGCGGACTGGGATGCCGTCTCCTCCTTCGAAGCGAAGTAGTCATGCTAGCTAAGGACGAATATATAAATTTGTCGCAACTACTTGCAATCAATCTTATTGCTTTAATTCAATCAACAGGCGTCATTCAACAAGTTAGCTAGGAGATAATGGAAATCTAAACGAAGAATTATATCCAAACCAAATAGACTCTGAATATGTTGGACTGAATATCAGAAGCTACATAACCCCATCAACTTCAATCCTTGCATTGCTAAACTTTCTTATATCAGTTCACCCGGTATGAATCATACAGTCACGCCACAACGCTGCGACTGTAAATATCACTCAATTACTTAATTATGATTAGTTATTATAATTAATTCACATCCAGGTAATTACAATATCAGAAAAACGACCAAATGAGGCTCTAGACAGACGGACTGCAATCCAACCGCAAATTGCAGTTCGAATGCAGTCACGACCAAACGAGAAGTTTTTTTTTTACCACGACGGTGCCAAAAAAGACCCGTCATAATGACTGTCATAAATATTTATAACGGTTGCTGGAAGCCGCTGTTGCTATCCTTGAGCATGATGATGGCCACGATGGGTTTCTCTTCAAATAGAGATACACGTGTAGGTATCGAATGAAAATCATGTACTGATAATCAATAAATCAGTATTAAAGAGGAGGAGATATTCGTAAACAAAGAGGAGGCGGTAATGAATTTTTTTTTTTTATACTCGAAAGGTTGACGTTTGGCATCCATCTCGCCTGGTGGTAAGCGATGATGTGGCCGACGATGGAGCACAAAATGTTCAGTTAAGAAATGATGGATAGAATATAAGGAATGATATGAGTGGTCTGGAAGTCATTGGGAGCTTATAATCAGCAGTGGACTTCTTAAGGATTGGAATGAAAGAGACTGAATAATGGTGATTTAAAAAAAAGAAGTTCCCGATGTGATGACATCCAATACACGAGATAGAAATAATTTAAATGAGCTCAGGATTTTTTTGCATGTCGTACAAGAACCTATGGGGCAAGTCACGTCGGAGGAACATCTCGACACAATAGTCTGAGGAGGAGGTGTGAGTCTGGTAGTACTCACACCTCCCTATTCGTGAGGAGGTGTGAGGCTCCGTGAGAATTTCCCCTCCTGCTGTACAAAAACGAAAGTGTGGCCAAGGGCCAATAATTTTAACAGCTGAATTATATTGAATATATTATCACTATCACTATTTATTTTGCGCTTAGAAATCAGACTTAACAAACATAATCTTAATTGGTTTACTTAATTAATAAGGTAGGTAAAACATTAATTTGAAATTTCTATTCCATCATAACTTTTTCGAAAGCCGCATAGGCGCTGTCGATGACTGGGGTTATGTCCTTAGCCGGGTTGTTGTTGTTAACCAACCAGACGGAACCCGGAGCTCCATTTTGGAACATGTAAAGTGAAGCTGCAGCTGCTGACTCAGGCCTGAAATCACATGAAGAAAATTAGGTAATCTCTTCCTAAATAAAGGTTATTACCAAAAAAGTTTACGAAACACTTAGATGTCACAACACCTGCTTAAGAACTTGTGTTTTGTGATGTAGCTTTGCATTTTATTTGAGCGGGGAAAATCATCCAATGACTTCTCCGGCCTTGGTTGAGGCGAGAGAGTCAGACTCTTATTGTTTACTAAAAAACACGCTTTGACTACACCACACGTCCTGGTTTGAGTCGCCCCTCTAACCTATTAGGTTGTCTGCAGCTCCATTGCTTACTACTAAACATGCCTCCAGAAATCTAAATAAGTTGTATCAACGAAATAATTATTAAAAAAACTATGTACTACGTACTCTGAAAAATAAGAACTTACTTCTGGAAAATGATTCCGTCAGTTTTTACACTTTCGACCAAAGCCTTTCCAGCTTTTGGGTCGTATGCTCTTGCGTCCAGGTTGTGAAGCAAAGGTGTATCGGTAGCTCCAAGACATTTGGTCAGAATTCTAATGCCTGTGAGGTCGTAGAAGGGTTCCATCTGAAAATATTTAAACATATTATAAAATTTCAAAACACTATTGCGACATCGTAATTGATTTAACAAATGAGCTTAACAAATAACGAGATATTTTTAATACACATAACAATTAAAATGAGAATTCGTTTGCTTTATCAGGAATTTGGAAACCAGTCTTCTTATTGTTATTTAATTTCGACAATGCAGATTCCTCTGGTAGGTGTCTACTTATTTTTCAGACTCACTGTTAAACATTGACCGAAGTGTAGAACAGCCATTTTGCTGCCACTATAGACAGGCAAAGCACCAGGTTTTCCTAGAGCAGCTGTTGAAGATATGTTGATGATGGTTCCACCAGCTCCACCTTCATCTTTCCTCATGTGACTGATGCCTTTTAAGGAGAAGGAGACCAATCCTTGCTGAAAAATAAAACAATTAATTTAGTGAAAGAAATTTTGGAACAAATATTTTAAAAGAAAAATATAATAATATCCAATACTGACGAACGACAGGAGTGATGGATACTTGAATTTAAAATAACGCATAGTTCTTTGATCCTTTACTTAAAAGCCGAATGATGGAGCCAATGTCATTTTAACGTGTGTAGCTAGAAAATGGATACCCCCAACATTGGGGCCAATGCTATTCGTATTTATGATAATGTTGGCGTCATTGTTCAGGCCAACGTAAGGAGGCGGTGTAAATATTAATATTGCAAGTAAGATGCATTACCCAATTAACGTCGGATGCAGTTCTCCACACGTTAGGAGTGTCAACCATGATGCCAGCGTTGTTGATGATGACGTCAATCTGCTTGAACTGAGCGAGCACGGCGTCCCACGCGCTCACGATGTCTTCCTCCTTGCTCACGTCACATTTTAAGAATATCACCTTATTGCCAAAAGTATTATTCAAACGTTCGGTTGTCGCTTTGCCAGTTTCCACAGCTATATCCAAAAGTGCAACACTCTGAAAATTATAAAAAATATAAAGTATGTAATACCTACCTGGTAACCCATCTCGAGTGGTTTCGTGCTACAACGCGCTTTAAGAAGAGATTGCTACCATCAACCACATGCAAAAACCACAAGGAGACTATCGATCAACAAGGAACCAAGAGACGTTTTGAATCAAAGTTGTCTATCAACTATTTATTGAATAACTACATGTAGAAAGATGTATATATTTAAAACAGAAAACGTATTATTTACCTTTGCCCCATTCTTTAGAAAGGTCTCAGCGTACAGAGCTCCCAAGCCAGAAGCTCCTCCGGTTATCAAAAATGTCTTTCCCTGGACCTCCCACTTTGCCATTTTAAGAAAATATGTACAATCGCTCTTTGATTTTGTAACTTCAGTTTTTACTTATATACGTACCCGTTATCTTCGCGAATAAAAAATAAATATCAGGTGTTTATATCAACATTCTCTATCTGTTTGTTTGTACTAGATTATGTCATATCACATACGATTACTTATCTCTGAGATACATTCGGTTAGTGGGTGTCGTACCACACCTTCGAATTATAAGTTTGGGCTCTTTGAGATATTCAAGAATATTTCGAAGACAGAATTTAATATGTATTGTCAGATTTGGATTTTTCTTTTTCTCCTTACTGTCTTCATGTCAACCATCCTCTACTATGCTGTTTTCTTCCTTTCTCTTGCATCAGACGTTATCTCATCAGAAACTTCTTTCTTCAACCATCATCATTCTGAGCCTCAAGAAGTCCACTGCTGATCATAGGTCCCTAATGATTTCCAGATCACTCATATTGTCGCGGAGAACCTAACGGGTAACCGGGTCTCCGGCTCGACGTGCAGGAGAAGGAACGGGGTGGTTTTTGGTTTTTAGTCAGTAAGAGTCTGACACTTCCTCCCGCCTCACCCATGCGGGCTCCCGCATCGGTGAGGCGGGAGGAGGGAGGAGTCATTCGATGATTTTGCCCCTTAAAAAAAAGATCACTCATATCATTCCTTATATTTTATCCATCTTTTCTTTACTGAACATTTTGTGCTCCATCGTCGGCCACATCATCGCTTACCACCAGGCGAGATGGTGGCTAAATGTCAACGTATCGAATATAAAAAAATCTTTACCGCTTCCTCTTTATTTACGAATATCTCCTCCTATTTAATACTGACTTATTCATTATATCAGTACATGATTTTCATTCGATACCTACACGTGCATCTCTATTTGAACAGAAACCCATCGTGGCCATCATCATGTTCAGGGAAAGCAACAGCGGCTCCCAGCAACCGTTATAAATATTTATGACAGTCATTATGACTTGCTTATCAATCTGATAAGTAGCACAAGACAAAGTCTAAAATGTTTAACCGACTTCTAAAATAAAAGGAGATTCTCTGTTCCAACCTATATTTATATAATTATGTATGTTTGTGCGCGCTTATCTCGCGGTTGGCTGAAGTGATTTTCATGTGATTTTCAGAAAAGTGTTTTCAACACTTAGCAGAAGGTTTTAGTATATTCATTGACTAACTTAAAAAAAAAGAGTGTGTTGCTGTTGGTTGTTTAAACGTAGTTTATGACAGAATTATTGTTTGGATAGTTTTAACTCGAAAAATTCCGAACTAAACTTAGTACATGATGCTAAAGTTCAGTGAACTCAACTGACAACCATTTCATCATCATCATGAACAGCCGGAAGACCTCCTCCACGTCTCAACCATTTACCAACCTAATATTAATTGGGTGTCTGAAGTTCGAAGTGCAACTGCCAACTTCTACTGCTAAATACCAACTTATTCTCGGATCTTTCCGAAAATTTTCGGAGCGTTACGAGCCTTTGGTTTTGAATTCCAAACTATTTAGGAACAAGAGTCAGAATAAATTAAAAGACATGATACGATAGATAAAAATAATTTTATTTATATAAATAATTTAATTCAATCACAGTTAGATACAGATGTTACGACGGCATAAGAAGAGTCTTAAAATCGTTGAAGGCACGATCAATGGTTGAAGTAATATTTTGGCCAGGTTTGTTATCCAAGGACAACCAAAATGACGCTGGAGGGCCAGTTTTGTACATGTCCACTAGGACTTTAACTGCTGATTCTGGTCTGCAAATAATATGAAACCATAGTTATATAGTGCCTCATCAGTTAAATTCCATTAGTAATCGAACAAAGTGGATGAACAACTCAGAGCCTGAAATTATGCTTAACATAATCATGACTATTGTCCTATATTACACCCAAAATCGTAATTGATAAAGTAGTTTAGACACAATAAACAATTTTATTTATTTATACATATACACTTATACCTCACAAGTGCACCATAGGTAGATATAGATTAGTCGCAACTACTTGTAATCTATCTTATTGCTTTAATTCAATCAACAGGCGACATTCAACAATTTAGCTAGAAGATATTGGAAAATCTAACGAAGGATTATATCCAAACCAAATAGGACACTAACCTAAGATAGAATAAGGTGTATAATACTTACTTTTGATACACAACATTGTTACTCTCTACGAAAGCCATCATTAATTGCCCGACCTTAGGGTCATATGCCTTCGGCACTAAGTTCTCCAATAATGCAGTGTCAGTTGGACCGAGGCATAAGGTTAGGACTCTTACTCCAGTGTTCTCGAAGAATGGTCGCTTCTGGAATGTGAATAAAATAATTTTGAAATAACTACGCTATTTAGAATAATAGTCTCGGTGTGACTTGAAACTTGTTAAGTATCGGTGCCGACACATGTACCTACACCGTGATCAACGCCGTGTCACGAGGCCCAGATCTGCTGAATCAGGACATTACACCTACTTTGATGCGACGAGGGTTCTACGGAGTATTGCAACATCCAAACTGCTGAGTCGTCCCATCATGTCGCCGCCTCGTGCCCAGCTGCGAATCGCTACGTCATCAATTACCATACTAAATTTATAAGCTCAATAGGTATTATTGAAAACCTTCTTACGAAACAATTTTAAGATATGAAAGCAGTGCTGTTCGAACATCGAACGCATTCGCTCTTAGGTTAGTTAGATTTTAGGAATTATCGTGTAATTTTTTCGGCATTCGGAATATGGTTTGGTCTAGTCCGAGTAGGTACATCATTATTACGAATGTACATGAATTTTCATTTTTTTTATTGTAACACTAACTAATAATCCTTCTAACTGCAAGGTTGGCGCTTCGGCTGGGCAACTGACTGCCGCGCAACGCGTTACGGGTTCGATTCCTGCACGGAACAACTCTTTGTGTAATCCATAGATTGTTTAGACAGTTTGTAAAAGCACCCACGGCACAGGAGAAAATCCTAGTACACTAGCAACGTTTAAAAAGAATCAACAATAATAGCCGAGAGAGAGATTTATAAATATCAAGATTGACGAAAATAATTGCAATTTTTCTCCGGAGAATCGAAAGCAGTATTTGTGTGGATTTTAATTATTTTTTAACTTACCGCTATACATTGACTGAAATGCAGGACAGCCATTTTGGAGCCACTGTAGATGGGAAATGCCGCTGGTTTAGTCAGCGCTACTGTTGAAGCAATATTCATGATAGTTCCACCTGCTCCACCCTCATCCCTCTTCATGTGCTTGATGCCTTTCAATGTAAAGGAGACTAATCCTTGCTGAAAATTTAGAAAATGCATTAAAATGTGTAACATAACATAAAATCACGCCTTTTATCCCCGAAGGGTAGGTAGTGCACATTATGCCACTGTATAATGTAACACCCACTTTTCACTATTTATGTTATGAGTCCCATGTAATAGGGAGTAAGTACCGGGCACAATTCCAGACTCCGTGCTACTACTGAGATTTTTTTTAAAACCCAGTAATACCTTGACAGACCCGGGAATCGAACCCGAGACCCCTTGCCCGGCAGTCGCACTTGCGACCACTCGGCGCTATACGCTTATCAAGAATAGGTCTGGGAAAGAAGTTAAAGACATCTTTTAATTCTGTACTGTTAGATTTTGATATGGTAAGTTCTCTTCTTAAAGGAAACACTGCAGTTCGAAGAATAAAATAACTTTTATTTAACTTCACAAATTAAAGGGTATTATAATTTCGAGTGTGACCCACGAGTGCACGGGATTATGGATGGAATGCGACTGACTGTTTTTGTATAGGACGGGGTTATATGCATTTGAGGCGAGGAGTGAAGTGTCAGCACTGTGACGGGGATAAGGGTGTAATATTCCTTGGGTATAACAGCCCCCCGATTAAGAGGAAACTTACGGGAGCAAAGGTAAGTTGACGAGGAAAAGAAGGAATCTCTGAATCTAGTCTCGGAGGAGCAGTCGAGGAACAAGTACATCTTTGAGCTAGCTAGGGATGACATTTTTATACTCTAGCTATATAATAACTAAGCTTATATAACTTTAGCTTACAATAGGGAAACTTATCTATCTTATGTCTATATTTTTTTTTATGGTAATACAATAATGATTAAGTTTAATATATAAATCAAATTATTCTACATATGTTAACTATAGAGATATATATATATATATATATGTATAACTATGTAATACAAACATCGTTGTTCTCATAATAGCAAGATACACTAAATATGTTTTTATGATGTAGATATTATTTAAAATTAAAATTACAGGTAATTGCTTAACACTAGAAATCTAAAACTATCAACAAAATGTGTAAAGAGCTATTAGGGAGTAATAGAAGATAGGTATAATAATATATTAGACTTAGAAACTAAACATAGTAAAGTTAAAATTAACTTAAACGAAAACGTTAACATAGGTTGTATAGGTAATGGCGTTCATAAAGATTTCAAAGTTCCTAGAATGTCTCTTATGTTATTTAGACGCGGTTAAATGAATGCTATATAACTTATATAAGTAGTAAGTAGGTACTAGACGCTATCGCTAGTGTGCAATTTCATTTCATCAAAATGGTGTTTGATATGACGTCGGTTCATTAGGAGTGATGCGGTATTATTTCCATGTATTTTGACTATTTTGTACGGTCCTTTCCATATTGGTGAAAGAGCTTTGCGAAGCCGTAAATGATTTTTCAGGTAAACAAGGTCACCGACCTTGTATCTGATTGGTTTTGTGCGAGTGTCATAATAGTTTTTTGAACTTTCTTTCGATTTTTGAATATATTCCATGGCTTTAGTTCGACAGTATTTCAGTCTATTTTGGAGTACGCGAACATAATCGGGATAAGTCACACCTGCAGTTTCTTCATAAATGGAATCTGGTATATATGGTTTATTTCCAAATAACAGTTCGTAAGGAGAAAAGTGAGTAGTTGAATGGATGGCCGAATTATAGGCCAGCATGGCTGTATAAACAAAACGGTGCCAATTATTTTGTTCTTCATTCACGTAGGATTTTAAATATTCCTTTAAAGTAGAATGGCTCCTTTCGAGAGCGCCCTGAGTTTGAGGATGATAAGGAGTACTCCACAACTGTTTGATTTTTAACAGCTTGCAGGTCTGTTTAAATAGTTCGGCTGTAAAGTTGGTGCCTTGGTCTGTCAGAATAGTTTTAGGTATTCCAAATAACGAAATAAAATGGACTAGACATTCGCATGATTCTTCGGCTGTAGTGTTGGTCATTGGATAGGCAGTTGAGAATTTGGTAAGATCATCTTGAAGGGTTAAGATGTATCTAAACCTGTCGTTACTGGCTTCTGGAAGTGGACCGACGATGTCCAACGCTACGCGTTCAAAGGGACGAGTGGAAAGGGATGTAATCTGCATGGGAGCACGATTGATTTTTCTAAGGGCTTTATTAGTTTGACATTGTGAACATTTTTTTACATAATTTTCTATGTCTGATCGCATATTTTTCCAGTAGTACTTTTCCTGGATACGTCTTAGCATTCTCATGGAACCTAAATGACCGGCAATGGGTATGTCATGATTTTCTTTCATGATTTTAGGTATTTCACTTAACGTCGGGTAAATAATAGAATTTTTATAAATATGTACAGTTATTTTTGAATTGTGGAATAAGTATAATATAATATTGTATACTTTTAGGTATTGATGACTATCAAAAGGGTTACTAAAGTCTGAGATAGCTATCTCGGGATTTTCTTGATCCGCAAGGCTAAATATTAGCTCATTCCTTACAGATTTGAGACTGGTATAAATGTCTTCGTAAGTGCGAGAATCAAAATGATTGACTTTAGTAAAGAGGAAATAATAAATTTTATTTTCCGATTTATATTTAAGGAAAGTGTATAATGTTCTTTCTAATAAAGAAAATTCATTTAAATTGTTAATTTTAGATACTACCTCTTGAATATATGGAATAGATTCATCCATATCTATGGATGTAGGGATAATAATGTGTATTTTATCGGTTTTAGATAAACTTTCGTTGTGTTGTATGACAGTTACATTAGAATTGAATTCTTTAGAAGTTGTTTTCAGGAAATCTGAATAACTACCATTTAGAATACTAGGGTTACTCGGTCTAGAATCATCGAGTGGATCAATAGGCGATGGTGTATTCTGGCTACTTATATTATCTAGGTCGTCAAGGTTACCTATCTCCGGTAAAGTTATGGGTGGAACAGGTTCATTAAAATACATTTGAAATTTAATATCGTTTAGGTATAATATACTTTCTTCGTAATTAATTTGACCATTCATGGAGTTAAATAAATCATTACCAACAATGCCATCGTAGGGTATGGTTAAACCATCTATTAAATTGAACATGTGTGTTAGGTACTTGAAACCGTGTTTTTCGTCGTGAACGCTTATAGTTATAGGAATTTGTCCCAAAGTGCTTAGGGGCTTATCAGTGGTTGAGTCGATACCCTTGATATGGAACTTGACTGATTTATTAACTACGGGCATATCTTCGAGGACAGATGTTTTTATAATGCTTATCGATGCACCAGTATCAACTAGGAAAATAAATTCTTTAGAAGACAGAGGAGATTTTACTTGTATGTAAGGTAAATATTTGTTTGATATATTTTGTGTAAATTCGTATATGGTTCTATTAATATTTTCTTTATTTTCAGGATTTAAGATGCAATCTACAGTTTGGGGCTGGCTACCCTGTTGCTTGACTATATTCGATTTTACAGGAATGTTAGAATCTACGGTTTGGGGCTGATTACCCTGTTGCTTGATTCTATGTGATTTTATAAAAGTGTTAGAATCTACGGTTTGGGGCTGATTACCCTGTTGCTTGATTATATGTGATTTTATAAAAGTGTTAGAATCTACGGTTTGGGGCTGATTACCCTGTTGCTTGATTCTATGTGATTTTATAAACGTGTTAGAATCTACGGTTTGGGGCTGATTACCCTGTTGCTTGATTCTATGTGATTTTATAAACGTGTTAGAATCTACGGTTTGGGGCTGATTACCCTGTTGCTTGATTCTATGTGATTTTATAAAAGTGTTAGAATCTACGGTTTGGGGCTGATTACCCTGTTGCTTGATTCTATGCGATTTTGGGAAACTGTTGGAATCTACGATTTGGGGCTGGTTACCCTGCTGTTTGATTCCAGTTTTATTAGTGTCGGCTATTGTGTTAATTATTAGTCCCGTGCGACACCTTTTCGGGACATAATTTAGTTTAAATTATTTTCGTCGATAGTATTATAACCTTCGGTTTCGGTGAAGGTGTTAATTTGCGGTTTGAAGGACGTACTTGGTAAAACATCGGTATTGGAGGGTTTATTTATATTAAATTTTTTATTATTGTAATCACGAAGTTTGCAATTTTCTAAAACGTGTCCTGGATTTTTGCAATATCGACAGAACAAATCTTTTAGAGCTGATTGTTTGGATGCATGTTTTTGAGTGTAGTTCTTATTATAGTTTCCAGTTTTATTTGGTCTAGTGTTACTGTCATTACCACGTAACGTTTTTGTGGCCATATTTTGTTTTTGAACATATTGCTGTAATTTCTCTTCTGAGAGGGCACAATTAATGGCGTCATTAAGATTTTTTGGATTTTTACATCTAACTATGTTGGCGATACGAGGGTTAAGGCCCATAGTAAAAGTATGGAGAGCTAGATCCTCCATAGCAGCTACTCTACCGGGGACTTCAGTTTTCTTATAACTATTAATGGCTATTTCTGTAAGGAGTTGGGATAGGCAGGTTTCAACCCTCAGTGAGAATTGGCTAACATTTTCTTGGGCATCCTGTCTGCAGTCTTGCAGTTCAATCAGAAGATGAGCGTAGTGTTTACGCTCCCCGAATTGATTTTGTAAGAAATCTCTAAGTGTAGGCCATGTCTCAAATTCTTTTATGGAACAAGCTATTTCGGCCTTACCATCTAGCTGGCTGATTATATATTTAAATACAATGTCTTGTTGATTTGCGGAAGCCAAGGAAATTGCATTATCGCAGTTATTTATAAAAGCATTCAGTTTTTCACGGCTACCATCGAAAGGTTTAATGAATTTTAGGATTACGTTAAGAGTTAATCCGTCTTTGGCGTCATCTTTGATATTCTTGGAACTTTGAGTTGACATTTTTGTTTAAAAATATTACAGTTGTAAAAAACAAACTTAGAAATAAAATAGTATAAGTGGGTTATAAATTTACACACCAAATCTTGGAACACTTTAAGTGTTCTTGTCGCTATTCACTGGAAAGCGTCGGACCGTTTTTTTTTTATACAAAAACACGACACCACTTGTAATATTTTTTACGACTTTGGGTTTAGCCCTCGAAGGTAATCTATTAAACAAAAGATCTAGTTTTTGTTTGATCACTTTTGAATTGTAGGACTTTGGTTTATAAATAGAAATATATCACTGAACTCACTGTTGCACCAAACATGTGTTTTTCATGAAGACGCTGGAACTGGAACTGGAGTTGCGAGTTCTGGATACTGGAACCGGGAGTTGACCTTGAGCCAGGTCGGTGCTGGGCTTGGAGTTCCCACGGGAGACGCTACCTGCGTCACTGCTCCTTACCACTAACTGCACAGTGGATCGGCTATGAGGTTCACTGGTGTGGGTATGATATACACCTGGATGATATGAGTCGCGTTGTGTAAGTTATGTCCTCACTGCACTTCGCTGATACGGTTTTTGGAGGAAACCTAGGATTTTTCAATCCCTTTTCCGCTGCCACCAATGTTAGATTTTGATATGGTAAGTTCTCTTCTTAAAGGAAACACTGCAGTTCGAAGAATAAAATAACTTTTATTTAACTTCACAAATTAAAGGGTATTATAATTTCGAGTGTGACCCACGAGTGCACGGGATTATGGATGGAATGCGACTGACTGTTTTTGTATAGGACGGGGTTATATGCATTTGAGGCGAGGAGTGAAGTGTCAGCACTGTGACGGGGATAAGGGTGTAATATTCCTTGGGTATAACAGTACCTAGTCGGTTACTTTAAAATGGTTTTGGTAGTTTTGTATTCGAATTTTTTGAAATATCATTAAGTGTTACCTTCTTTTATTCTTGTTCCTTCCTTATAACTGTGAAACCAGAAAACAAAAATTTCTATTTACCCAATTAACGTTGGATGCAGTTCTCCACATGTCAGGAGTGTCAACCATGATGCCAGCGTTGTTGATGATGACGTCAATCTGCTTGAACTGAACGAGCACGGCGTCCCACGCGCTCACGATGTCTTCCTCCTTGCTCACGTCACATTTCACAAATATCACCTTATTGCCATAAGTCTCGTTCAGACTTTCAGCTTTTGCTCTGCCTAGGTTCTCAGCAATGTCGAGGATTGCTACATTCTGTAATCATTAAAGTAATTATTTATTTATTACTTTATTTGTAGCCATGGTCGTCCCACTGCAGGCAAATACCTCCCTATCCTCCTTCCACTCATCTCTTCTTCAAAAGGATTGGCCGCAGAAAGCTATGCTAAGAAGGGATTAAAGTAATGGTAATTAGAAGTATAATAGACCCTAAATATGTTGAACTGAATATCAGAAGCTACATAACCCCATCAACTTCAATCCTTGCATTGCCTTTCTTATATCAGTTCACCCGGCATGAATCATACAGTCACGCCACAACGCTGCGACTGTAAATATCAGTCAATTACTTAATTATGATTAATTAAAGTAATTATAATTAATTCACATCCAGGTAATAATAATATCAAACAAACGACCAAATAAGGCTCTAGACAGACGGACTGCATTTCAACTACAACCCAACCGCAAATTGCAGTTCGGATGCCGTCATGACCAAACGGTTGCAAACCAAACGAGAAGTCCGATCGCAGACCTATTGCAGTGGTGTCAACTGCAATTTGCAGTAGAATTACAGTTGAAATACGGTTCGTCTGTTCAGAGCCTAAAAGTCGCAAGAAACCGCTGGATGCAGGTCGCTTCTAGGGTTGCCACCTCTTTTTTGGTATTCAAAGTACATTGACGATTATAGGTAAGAACAAAAAGTACGCAGTACAAAAATAAAGAACAATTTATTCTTATTTAGTATTATATTTAAAAATGTATTTCTTATTGCTTTTTGCAGTTTGTAGTATTAAATTAGGAAAATTAAATTAGTTTTCAAAAAAATTGCATTGAAATACTAAACAATTGCATCTTTATTACAAATTGTTTATGTGACGCAGGCGAGTGGCGAAATCGATTCAACATAAATCGATATCGAATCAATAAGTTTACCGAAAAATACTTACGACTTTAATAAAAATGAAGTTTGCAAAAATAAAGTATTTTCATGTACTTTATTATCCTTATAAAGTATAGAGTACCTAGAGTACTTAGAGTACATAGAGTGACCTTAAATAATGTACAATACTTTATTATAAAGTACGGGTGGCAACCCTAGTCGCTTCCAAGTAGCATATCTGAAAGTCACTGGGGGAGGTGTACGATTCTACAATATATTTGATAAATTCAAAGCATATTCAAACACACTGGGACGGTTGCAGTCTTTAGGGGGTGGTCTGGATAATACTATGAATTATGATGACAATTATCACTAATCACCTAGATCACCATGAGACTACCTTAGGTAGGTACCTATATAAAATCGTCAATTTCAACAAAAAATGTTTCCTCATCGTGACATACGTAATTAGAGTCCAAATCTAAAGTCCATTTGTTTTTTACTAAATAAGCATGACTAGTACTTTTTACTTCAAGTTTTTATTTGTTTCTAATTCACACTACGTCTCGGAAAAATAACTAAAGCATACGTATATGTATTGACAACTACATTATCTCCAAGTCGCTTCTGCGCGCGGCTCAAAGAGCCCGACCACCACGGATGGGGCCTAATAGGGCTGATGGCTGATGCCGATACGGAGCCGCGAAGAACGTAGCAGTTTACCCGGCCTCTGGCTCGAAGCGCAGTACTAGGAACATTACATTAGTAGCAACATTATATTTTATTTGATAAAAATCACGAAGTACCTAAACTTTACTATAGTTTTATGACTACATTTAAAACAAATGCTACCGCAAAAACTGTTCGTCACGCTTAATTGTATCTAATAAAAAATTAAAACTATAAAATAAACAAAACATAATAATAAACTATTCTATTTTCAAAGAGAAAAAGATGGCGGGAAATTTAAAAGAATATACATTTACCTTAGCGCCTTCTTTGAGGAATGCTTCAGCATACAACGCGCCCAAGCCCGAAGCTCCGCCAGTAATCAAAAAGGTTTTATTATTTGCGTCCCACTCCGCCATTTTTATGAACGTTCACTAACACTGTCAATCAATAACTAACGCTGAAACTTCTCACAATAGTTTTTATACCTACATGGGCAGTTAAAGAACCTCCTGTATTTGTTAGATATTTAATAAGAATAAGGATACTTAACGTTGACTGCCTCGTTGGCCGAGTGGTCGCAATTGCGACTGCCGGGTAAGGGGTCTCGGGTTCGATTCCCGGGTCGGGCAAAGTATTACTGGGTTTTAAAAAAATTCTCAGTAGTAGCACGGAGTCTGGAACTGTGCCCGGTATATGGCAATAGGCTCACCCCCTATTACATGGGACTCATAACATAAATAGTGAAAAGTGGGTGTTACATTGTACAGTGGTATAATGTGCACCTCTGCCTACCCCTTCGAGGATAAAAGGCGTGATGTTATGTGTTCATGTTATGATACTTAACGTTTATTTCAGAAAAAAGATTGCAGTTTTTGTTTTGTCCTGGACCTCACACTAGAAATCCCTGTGTCCTGAGGTCCAGGCTCCTTAGCTCCTTTTTTATGGAATAAGCCGGTAAACGAGCAGACGGATCACCTGATGACAAGCAACCGGCGGCGTCGCCCATAGACACCCGAAACACCAGGGGCGTTACAAGTTACCGGCCTTTTGGGAATTGAGAATTTGAGGATAGTGGGGGATTCGCAGATTGGAGAGACTGGGGAGGCGGAGTATGGGCTTCCGGTAACCTCACGCAGACCACGAAACACTCATTCGTGCCGAAGCATAGCTCTCCCACACTCATACTTATACAAAATCAGATTTAATACACGTATAATAACACTAATAAGAATAATAAAAGGAACGAAAGAAAACGAGGAAAGGATGACCAAAAGTAAAACAAAAAACAGCACAAAAACTTAATGCTATATTATAAATGTATATTACGCGTGTGTGTGTATAAGTGTGTGGGGGTGTGTGTACGTGTCCATGTCTGTTGTGAAAGTATAAAAATGACATATAAATGCATATCAGTACTTTTTCAGCAGTCGTTTCGTAAGTATGATTAGTTTTTTTGCCTTTTTTATGATTGTACTAACTTATAAGATTTTCAATCACCTGATTAAAAGTCACACCCAACGAAGTAGTGAGAAGCCACTTTATAACCGTGTTTTTACATATATTTTGGCTGAATTGTAGAATTTTGAGTTTGATTATTAAGTTTGGAGTAAATGCATTGCACGGTTGGTGCGGGGACTGGGTAACTGGCTACCGCTGTTTGAGGCTCTACTCTTTGTGTGATCCACAAATTGTTGTTTCTATTTGTATGTAAACGCACCCACGACACAGGAGACCTAATAGACCTAATAAAAGTATGGCCCCATATAGCCGTACGACCTTCTCTCGATTTCTTTACGACAGCGGCCCTTCTTTTGCCATATTCGACTAGACAGGATACAAATGCTAATAGCGTTTTTGTGAAATCTTAGAGTAATTGATAATAATGTATGCACAATATGACAATCTGAATCTAAGAACTCCGATTTTAGTGTCAAGTGAATTAGTGGGGTATAGGAAACGCCTTCCATGAGCAACTTTGAACAAGGCCCGTGGAGCCTTTAGGTACTACTTTCAGCAACGAAGTTTGGCACCCCACACTTTTATTTAGTAGCTGAGGATGGATGTACAGAGTAAATAATAGATCATTTTCAGTATCTGCAATACTGCCAAGTTGCTATTTATGTCCATCAGTAGAGTCTTAAGTAAGCATGATTCTTTGATAAAATTATTAATATTATATCATTGAAATGATCATTTGTGAAGGCGTGTGGTGACGGTGGGGTACATAGAGATTTTGCGTATTGATGGATTATACTTAGGTAATTAATTTCGGCTGTAAGATGCTAAACATTTGATAGTGACCAATCAGTAACGCTTCTTGACAAACCCGAACCTTTGGCACGCGGTAATAGATTATCGCAAACCCAGCATTAGCAATAGTCCAGTAGCGCACTGTCCCGGGCTGTTGACGACTGAGGACTGATTATTCAGTTCATGAAACCAACGGTTTAGCTGGAGCGAATGACGGACAATTCAATTTTGACTTTTCAAAAGTACCTAATTAAGAATGAATTGAAAAAAATTATTTCACTTTGTATTAAATTAATTTTCATTTTATTTTAAACTAGCGTCTGCCCGCGATTTCGTATGCGCAATCCCGTTTTCTCCCGTTGGATTTTCAGGATTTCTTCTGTCTTTAAAACCTTGGCCTAGTAATAACAAATACAACAAAAAAATTATTAGTGAAATCGGTCCAGCCATTCACGCGTGATGCCGTGACCAAGGCAAAAAGGGATTCATTTCTATATATTATATAGAGGTAGACTAGCTACCTACTTCCCGCGGTTGAACCCTCTGACGCAAGAGATATTATTTATTATCTATACTGCATACAAGAGCCACAATATTATGAGATTTTCGATTAACATCGGTTATTAAATTCAGTCATAATGTTGTTTATTTAGAGATAGCAACCCAAAATACGGCATTCTAACAGAAACCACATGGTTGCACGTGTTTATAAATATGATACCAAACTGATACTTTATCTAGATGATATGACCGGGTCATCAAAACAAAATAATTAAGGAACTGAATGAAGTACGTATCTACTGATAAAAACAAAAATGTTATTTATCCAAACAAAGAATAATGACAGGTCTATACTTGTTCCAAAGACTCCGTCCGTGATATCTAGAATGTATGCCGTCATTGATCTAAATAAGTCCATGAAAAAAAATCCAAGATGGCTCGCGAGTGGAGGTCAAGTGCAGGCAGGTGTAGTACAAGATGTGCGCAATGTGGACAGACGATTTGCTGGTTGCAGGGCGCTTCGAACCAGCCTATCTAGAAGTCATTGGGGAGATCTGTATTTAGCAATGGATGTCTTGTTGCTGGAATGATGACAATTAATCAAGAACAGCTTTCCGATGTTACACTTACCTGGAATAAACATATTTTATCTTACACGCAGAATAACGCATTTCCTCTATCAATCTTTTATTTTACTTTGAGTAGATGTCCTTTCCAAAAGTGCTTTGCTGCAATTTTTTTTTTGTTATACATGGGCAAATTAAATTAACCTAGGTTTTATAATAATAGATTTTTTATTCTGACATAACTCTCTCAAATTCTTCAAATGCTTTGTCAATTGCAGATGTAATGTCTCGAGCCGGTTTGTCATCAATACTCAACCAAGTAGATCCTGGGTTACCATCAGTTAACATTTTAATGAAGGCATTGACTGCTGATTCCCTTCTGTAATGAAATAAAACGAGTTACAATGAACAACCTCTACTATACTTCGGCAGCTATCTCGCCTGTAAGCGATGATGCGGCCTACGATGGAGCATTCCTACCCATAAGCAACCTATAGCAAAATTAGATATTAATTTATTTGTAAAGGCCATTAAAGTGAGCACAAACATGAGATGTCAGCTACTAGGTACATACTATAAGTTGACAAGAAGCGGGTGTCCACGGGCGGCGCTGATCGCTTACCATCAGGTGATCCTTCTGATAGTTTGCCTCCTATTCTATAAAAAAAGAAGTTAGGTATAAACTAAAAATGAACCTACAGCATCGTCAAGTATCCAAGATTATAAAGATATTTAAATTAAAAATGAGTAGGTAACTCAAAAACTTACTTTTGACATTTAAACTTTTTTGTAATTGTGACAACCATCTCGTTTCCAAATTTTGGGTCCCAAGACTTTGTCTCTAAGTTATGAGCTAACGGTGTGTCAGTGGATCCCAAACACATTGTCAACACTCTTATACCAGTGTTTTCATAGAATGGTTTCATCTGGAAATAAAAAACACATATTAGCTAAAAATCGCAGGGTACTCACGTGATATACTGAGAAAAGCTCTTCTAGTTTCGAACCACAGAGGAGTTGTTCCTCATGAGCAGCGCGTGTTGTCGCGGCGATGTAGCGCAGCAGAAGGCCGCTAATTTTTAGTAGTTAATTTAGTATGTCTCACAATAGTTATTATAAACACAAAAAACACATAATTATATTGTAAGAAATATCTCTCTTTCAGCCAACGAGGAGTTTCGCCCTTTTCATTTAGGAACCATTTGCCTACGCAAATACACTGTTTCCTTACTAAACTCAGTTGGCGAGGAATTGCCGCACTCCGATATCACGTCACTTTTAAAGAATTCTTCGCAGCTTTAGACGTAAAACTAAAATGTTATGTTGGCAAACATAGATACCTATTACATATTTTGGAGAACTAAAATTCACAATAACTCACCGCTAAGCATTGACTGAAGTGCACAACAGCCATTTTAGCGCCACAATAAATTGGTAAATAAGCCAGTTTTGTTAAACCCAAAATCGAAGCGACGTTCAGGATAGTGCCACCAGCTCCACCCTCGTCCTTCCTCATGTGGCTGACGCCTTTTAAAGTAAAAGAGACCAATCCTTGCTGGGAAAAGGAAATAAAAAAATGTTATACGAATAACTCATCATCATCAACAGCCGAAAGACGTCCACTGCTGGACAAAGGCCTCCCCCTTGGTCCTCCACATCGACCGACAACGCCACCTGCATCCAGTGGCTCCCCGCAACTCTGGCGATGTCGTCGGTCCACCTAGAGGAAGGCCTGCCCACGCTTCATCTTCCGATCCGTGGTCTACACTCAAGGACTTTCCTGTCCTATCTGCCGTCAGTCGTCGAAACAAATAACTCCCTTCCTCCTAATTACGTTTGATAATCAGGTATCATCTGCAGTATGTGACAGTACCTGTACTGCTAGACTAAGTGCTTCCTCTACATTAGAGACTTTTGTAATTTTAGAGGCTTGGCAGGTTGGAAATTGTAAAAGTTTCAAGTCTATTAGAGGACGCTACTACCAAGTCTATGTTACATGTGTGGTCTTCTAGCTCTTTGGACAACCGCGAAAAAAATGTGTATAAATATGTTATTCAAGCTTCTCATACCCAATTAACGGTGGTAGCAGTTCTCCACACGTTAGGAGAGTCCACCATGATGCCAGCGTTGTTGATGATGACGTCAATCTGCTTGAACTGAGCGAGCACGGCGTCCCACGCGCTCACGATGTCCTCCTCCTTGCTTACGTCACATTTTACAAATATCACCTTATTGCCATAAGTTTTGTTCAGTTGTTCAGCTGTCGCGTTGCCTAAGTTTTCAGCTATATCTAGGATGGCTACATTCTGTAATTAATTAGATAAAAATTATATTTAATGGAATTGTGTTGTGTGATCAAAAAGTCGACAGGTCTAATCATGTTTACCTTCATAGATACATCAACATACGCTAATCAACCTTGAAAACTGCTTTAATAATTTTTAATGCTTTCATTTATTATTTTATGAAAAATTAAGGGTCTTTGCCCGAAACTGTTATAAAATTAAAATGAACTTAATAGGTAAGTATTGTAAAAAGTTCACGCCTGAAGAAGATTTATGCTTTTTTTTCGAAGAGTATACCTACTTTGCCTAGGAGAGGCCTATGTCCAGCAGTGGACGAATACAGGCTGATGATGATGATACTTGGCCTAGAGAATAAAATACCTTAGCTCCATGTTCCAAACAAGCCTTCGCATAGTCCGCTCCAAGTCCGGAAGCACCTCCCGTAATTACAAACGTTTTATCTTTAACGTCCCACATCGCAATGATACGTCCGTCCGCTAATCAACTACCATTGAATTAACTCTCGATAAACGTTAACAAAGTCTTATTTATATTGTATTTATCTGTACTTACTTTTATATCAAAAACCTTCGCGTAATTTCTTAGGTTTCGAGTTCATCAATAATTCTTTGATATACTACGGTTATAAAAAACCGACATCGACCCCCATTTTTTGAAGTCACATAACATAACATCACGCCTTTTATCCCCGAAGGGGTAGACAGAGGTGCACATTATACCACTGTACAATGTACAATGTAACACCCACTTTTCACTATTTATGTTATGAGTCCTATGTAATAGGGGATGAGCCTATTGCCATATACCGGGCACAATTCCAGACTCCGTGCTACTACTGAGAATATTTAAAAACCCAGTAATACTTTGCCCGACCCGGGAATCGAACCCGAGACCCCTTGCCCGGCAGTCGCACTTACGACCACTCGGCCAACAAGGCAGTCGTACGAGCAGTAGTTTTTTAAATCAGTTAACTATAATTACTAAAACCTTCTCCTAACTCTAACAAACACTTTTTTGAAAATCGTATCAAAATCAGTTCAGCCAATCACGAGATAATTGCGCACAAACATACATACATACAGTCAGGTCAAACTCAGAACCTTCTATTTTTAAACCTTCTTTTTTTTTAACTTAAACAAGTTTAATTTACGGCAACATCAACATCGGCTGGTATCGCCAGTGTTCAAGGGCGGCGCTAACGCTAATCACCTACCATCAAGAGTGATCTGCCTGCTCGTCTGCCCCTATTCCATAAAATCTGGCCCTAGGGATGTCCCGTGACTGACTTTAAATAACAAAGGTACTAGGGCTGGTCTATTTAGAGCACCTCATATCCCCTAATAAATGCTAATGATGACCGCTTGGATGGTTTTAGTGACGTAAAAATCGAATTGAAAGTGACGCATTGTCGTTCAGCGACTAGACTGGGGTTGTCTTGAGGTTTTCTATTGTTCAGGTTTTTCTCGCGATAAAGCGAGCGCTGTTACATGGTTCAATTTCTTGAAATCAAATTTTGTGTTTTAATAAACAGAATTGATACTTTGGGTTTAGGATAATTATACCGTTTATTTTTTAACACCCAGATAATAATGCGATTCCCTCATAGGTTTTGTAATCTTATAAATAGTTTTTGTTGAGTTTGTTATTGTTAGCAAAAGGTTCAGTATGGAAGAATAAAAACCGCTTAAAAAACCAAAGTAAAGCATAGTTGACCGGGTCCACTAGTTAAAAGTAAAAGTAGTTTACTGAAATAACAACAACAATAATCAGTGAATTAATTTTATTCTGCCATAACTTTCTCAAATTCTTTATAAGCGTTGTCAATGACTGATGTGATGTCTCGAGCCGGTTTGTCGTCAAGAGTCAGCCAGATAGAGCCAGGGTTACCAGTTGTCAACATCTTAATTAGCGCTGAGACGGCTGATTCCCTTCTGTAATCGAAAAAATAAAGTACTATTAAGTATTTGAAATGGTTGCTAAAAAACTTGATTCTGAAACGAATTCCTTGTGTTCATAAGTTGTCTATTTTAGTAAATACAACTATGACAAGTCATTATACATTTGCGGTGTATAAGTATGATACTGCTGCTATAAGGGTTTAGGGATTCGTATTTTTTGTTAAATCCCTAATTTGAGTTACGCCTCTTCTGGACTATGGTCTAGGGGTTGAGTGAAACACGGTATTCGGATACCGGATATATTTCGCGTAAACCCCAAAGAGAACCGTTCACTCGGACCGGCGCGCAGTAACTGTCCGTTTCTTGCATGCCTCACGCTCTTATACATTTTTGCTTGCCTTACACTCTGCCATATATACTTACAAGGGGGCAAAATTTGCGAATAAGTTCATTAACATATCGGTTACTTTTTAAATTATCAACTTACTTTTGCCGTGTATAGTTGTTAGCAATGTTGGTGACGAAATCGTCTGCAAGTTTCGGATCCCAAGACCTTGTCTCTAAATTGTCTATTAACGGTGTATCGGTACATCCTAAGCACATTGTCAGAACTCTAACACCGGTATTTTCATAGAACGGATCCATCTAGAAAAAAAAATAAAAATCATCATCAGTTTTAGGTTTAGTAAGTAGTAGGTAAGTAAAACTGATTGCAGTAAACATTGCAATTGCATTAACTCAATGGGGTCTTTCGATTTAAAAGCTTGTTGGTGTCAACCATCTATCTTCCTTATGGAGCTTATGTCACTATCGCTGGTCAATTAAAGTATCTCTAAGTACTATCTAATATATCTAATTGGTGTAATTACTCATATAAATACCAATATGATTGGCAGACTGACTCACCGCTAAACATTGACTGAAATGTAGAACAGCCATTTTGGAACCGCTGTAGATAGGCAAAAAGGTCATCTTTGTTATGCCCAGAGTGGAAGCGATGTTCAAAATAGTTCCACCGGCTCCACCCTCATCCTTCCTCATGTGGCTGACGCCTTTTAAGGTGAAGGAGACTAATCCTTGCTGGAAATAATATTAGAAGCATCATTATGCTTCAAGGCATATTTAAGGGCATTCCCTTCCTTCTATTTGTAATTACTATGAATTTAATGGTAGAGTAACAGATTATATGACTGTCCCGTTGGCCGAGTGGTCGCAAGTGCGACTGCCGAGCAAGGGGTCTCGGGTTCGATTCCCGGGTCGGGCAAAGTACTACTGGGTTTTTAAAAAAATCTCAGTAGTAGCACGGAGTCTGGAATTGTGCCCGGTAAATGGCAAAAGGCTCACCCCCTATTACTTGGGACTCATAACATAAATAGTGAAAAGTGGGTATTACATTGTACAGAGGCATAATGTGCACCTCTGCCTACCCCTTCGGAAATAAAAGGCGTGATGTTATGTAGTAACAGATTATAAATATCTATCAGGACTAGGTTACTTGAAAGTCGTTACATCGTTTAAAAATTCCACATACCCAATTAACATCAGAAGCAGTTCTCCAAATATTAGGAGCATCCACCATGATGCCAGCGTTGTTGATGATGACGTTAATCTGCTTGAACTGAGCGAGCACCGCGTCCCACGCGCTCACGATGTCTTCCTCCTTGCTCACGTCACATTTCACAAATATCACCTTATTGGTGCCATAAGTCTCGTTCAGTTGTTCAGCTGTCGCGTTGCCCAGCTTTTCGGCTATATCTAGGATGGCTACATTCTGTAATTAACATAATAACATAATAATTAATATAGGCTACGACATGTCTATTCATGTTTTAACAAGTTACATAAAATATTATCAGACATTACATTACAGCTAATCAATTTACCGTTAACCTGCCATATCTTAAAAAATCTAGATTAATTTGATTGATACGTTACCTACGTAATTAATTTAACATAACATAACACATTAACACCACGCCTGTTATCCCCGAAGGCGTAGGCATTGTACAATGTAACACCCATTTTTCACCATATTTGTTAGGAGTCCCATGTAATAGAGGGTGAGTCTATTGCCGTATACCGCGGGCACAATTTCAGACTCCGTGCTACTACTGAAAATATTTTATTAAAATCCCAGTAATACTTTACCCTACCCGGAAATCGAACCCGAGACCCCTTGCCCGGCAGTTGCACTTGCGACCACTCGGCCAACGTGGCTGTCAAAGTTAATTAATTTAAGTTTTGTTTGTTTTTCGAAAATTCAAGACTATTTCTCGAAACATTCGTGACACAAGTTTTTACTCTCCTCCTCCCCAGTCCAAGTCCTTCAAACTGTCAAACACCAAGCGGTCACCGGTGACCGCAACCTATTGTTCTTTAATTGTGTCTATAATGACGGTACTCAAAGAGTTCACTTTCATTTGTCCCTTTTTGTGAGAATGGAAAATCATCAAAATAACTCCTTCCGCCCGCCCTGAACAGGACGAAAATGTCAGACTGCCCGAGTAATAATAAAACCACCCCGTACTAACTCTTGCCCCAAGCTGGGGTAACGCGCTATGACTATACTATTTCAATATTTATTTTAACCATTATCTATCATACTAAGTATATGGTTATTTAAAACAAATGTAAAAGATCCTACAGTCAAACTATTTATGTATAGTTTTGTTGGACATGGCTTTAGATTGTAAGGCATAACATGTAGGTACCTTTTATTATTAAATAAATAAATAAATCTAATATATAAAATTCTCGTGCCACAGTTTTCGTTGCCATACTCCTCCGAAACGGCTTGACCGATTTTAATGAAATTTTTTGTGCTTATCCGGTATCTATGAGAATCGGCCAACATCTATTTTTCACCCCCTAAATGTTAGGGGTAGTCCATCCCTAAATTTTTTTCGAGATTGTGCGTACAAGTCGCGGGCAGAAGCTAGTAATATATAATAATAGCCTCAAGCCTCCTCCTTCTTGAGGATTCTAAAATACCACTAATTGAAGTTTCCTCTTATGAGAAAATGAAATACCTTGGCTCCGTGTTCCAGGCAAGCCTTTGCGTAACCCGCACCAAGTCCGGAAGCACCTCCCGTAATTACAAACGTTTTATCTTTAACGTCCCACATCGCTAATACGTCCGCCCACTGATAAAACAATATGAACAATACAAAATACGAACTAACTGTAATCGTTATAACAGTAACCTATCTTATATAATAATCAGCTTAGGTATTTGTACAATTTTTATCTCAAAAACTTAGGCGTCGTACACTGAGAAAAGCTCTACTAGTTTCGAACCACAGAGGGGTTCTTCCTCATGAGCAGCGTGCGCGGTCGCGGGGACGTCGCGCAGCTCATGAGGAAGAACCCCTCTGTGGTTCGAAACTAGTAGAGCTTTTTTCAGTATATTCACGTGAGCAACCCGCGTTTTTACTTAATTTAGTATGTCTCACGATAGTTATTATGTTTATTTTAGTGCTAAATTGTGTCTGTTGGCTGTTTTTATTAATTTTTTATCATTATAATGACATCAGCTTGTCGAGATTCTTTGCTGGACATATAAACCTTTCGTGTATCTAAACATGGATCCACGGGAGAAACAATGTATTTTCTATTATGTCTCATATCGGTGCATTCAAGCGGTTAAACGTGAAGTGCTAATTCAGTCTTCGACTGCCAATAGAGAACTGTTGGACGCAAATCCCCAGCTAAAGTCGGTCGTCAGTGACTTTCATGCCATTTAAAAAATCGTAATTTAACAGTTTCAAGTTATTGATATAACCCAAAGGATTACCCGAGCGTACGGCGCGTCGCGTGCCGCGCGCGCCTCAAAGAGGCCATCAGATCACCACGGATTGGGACTGATAGGACTGATGCCGATACGCAACCGCAGAAGAATTAACGGGTTGCCGGGGCTCCGGCTCAAAGTGTAGGAGTAGGAACGGGGTGATTTTTAGTCAGTAAGAGTCTGACACTCCCTCCCGCCTCACCAAGGCAGGATTCATTCGATACCATTCGATGATTTTCTCCCACCCAAAGTATGAACAAGCTGAAGTCAGTGGCCAGTCTCATTTGTCAAAGAACGGATTATAGTTAGAGGGTAGTTATGTTCTAGAGTGCAGACAGCGCAGGTACTCGGTAAATGTAGGTCACTACCTATATTTACCGACCGACTTTTTTTTAAGGGGGGAAAATCATCGAATGACTGCTCCCGCCTGGGTGAGGCGGAAGGGCGTGTCAGACTCTTACTGACTAAAAACCACACCGGTTCTTCTCCTGCACGTCGAGCCGGAGCCCCGGTTACCCGTTAGGTTCTCCGCGACTCCGAATCGGCATCGGCCCTATTGGGCCCCATCTGTGGTGAGTAGTGATGATTCGCCGGTTCTGGCTCATGAATTCCAGGCTCAGACCGGCGCCAGAATGCCGCGAATCAGTTGCACCAATCCTAAAAAAAAAAAAAAAAAAAAAAAAAAAAAAAAAAAAAAAAAAAAAAAAGGTTTTGGCATGCTCTGATCACGTTTCTGCAATCCTTTTTAGCGTACGATGCGTGGTTCTGGAGTTATGCAAATCGATTGCAAATCAGTTTATTGTATCTATTAATTAATTATCTCATTAATTAATTAATGACATAATTAACCCTCATTATGTTTGATTTCCTATGTCATCAATAAAACACAATCGTACATTTTTAATTTTTTATTTCATTACTTTTCTACAAAATATGAGTGGAACATCTTATCCACAAAAATATCATTGTACAGTGTGTTTCCTGTAAATATGTTCGTAAAACTATTCATTGAACATCCTTGAAACTTAAATAGCAAATACATTAAGCAATATTCACCACAAACTGAAGTCCAATCATTCTGAATCCTATCAACATTCCAGTCCCATCTCTTACAATTCCTTTTCAAAAACTGAAGATGATATCGCTCAGGTGTTCGTCCATATGAATCAAAATATTGACCGATGCCATTCACATCGATATGTACAGCTACCCAGTGTGAGCCTGGTTTATCATCCGCATCCAAATTGGATATTATATACGTTGGTACTTGTGTATACATAGGTAGTCTATTAGCAGCATAAACATTATTTTCTAGACTGGGATGAATCTTTTTCATATGTTTTTTTAATTCTAGTGTATCCATGATATCACTGTTATTAGCAGTTTATTGCAGTACCAATCTATTCAATGGTTGTCATAGGAATGTTCAATTATAGTGATTTGTAAATCGCATACTGATCTTCATGCCTGTTGCGACGTGAGATAAGTTTGTTGACTCATAGAGTTCCGTTGTACTTAGGAATTTACTTCAGATAACGTGGTCATAGTAATGTGTAATTAATGTGTAATTAAGATAGTGATTTGTGGGAGTCACAAAACATGTTCATGCCTGTTGCGACGTGAGATAAGTTTGTTGACTCATAGAGTTCCGTTGTACTTAGGAATTTACTTTAGATAACGTGGTCATAGTAATGTGTAATTAATGTGTAATTAAGATAGTGATTTGTGGGAGTCACAAAACATGTTCATGCCTGTTGCTACGTGAGATAAGTTTGTTGACTCATAGAGTTCCGTCCGAGATAAGAATTGTGCTATATAAGATCGAACAGTTGCAGTCATGCAGTCAGTTTATGGTCATTTGACCACAGTGGATTGTATACGTCTACCAATACTACGTTTGTGTTACCTACTTCAACGCATCAATGATCATGGAGGTAAGTGTTTATTCTATTGACAAACTTACTTGTATTTCTGTTGTTGTTTTCCTAACGTATGTGTGTGCGTGTGAGTCGGATTAAGTGTAAACAAATTGATATTAACGTGATAACTCTGTTGTTGCAGAGATCATTCAGCTTCGTCGACGATAATGAAAATACCTATAAACAGTATTACTACTCGCCACTCTCTCCCCAACACGAAGAAGAGAGAGATGACATCGTCGTTAATAACACAGACGATGGAGGAAAAAGGAAATCGCAACCGATTGATCAATTTTTTGAAGTGACACCAAAAATAAAAAGGAAGAAGCAGATCGTCGTCGACTGTGGCACGAGCTGCTAGAGATGGCGTATCATACATCTCTACAAATTCTGACGACGGAGACCAAGCGACGCATCTCATAAAAATTGAAATGTATGATATGAAGAAACTATCCAAGATTCCAATTAGTGATCACTGGAAGCACGCTACCACGAGGATTAAATATTACGTAAAGAATAATAAGGATAGCATCTACGACAACACAAACGGTCTCGTATACAATATTACAAAGACAATAGCAGAAAGTGAAAAAGTTAAAAAATACTTTTTTAACAATGACACTCATTAGTGGATTCGTGAATGTGATTCTGTTTACTTAAAGTACTTCTGTGTAATCATTAGATTTTTACATGACTTTCCTGATCCTTTGCTAGACTATAAATATTGGACATTATTTGAAATTTGGTATCAGTTGCTCTACCAACACTTAACTGTTATTTACTGTGCTACATACTAACTTCTTTATTATAAAGATGGAAAACTTCAGTGAAATATGCACTAGTGCTTTCTTTTCCACACCCATCGAGGAGAATATAGAACAATTCAACAGTGAATTCAATCAGGAGCTGTCTAAAGTTTGTGATGAAATAGAGAAGCGTGAACTGTTCAATTCATCGTACGATGATGAATTGTATAATCAATGTTTGATGGTTGAAACAACGTTGATGTAAGTATTAGAAGTACAAACTCAATAAGAAATATTATTGTAGTAATGTTTTTTTTAAGATCTGTGTAATAATTTTCTTTTTTGTTACAGTCAACAACAAGTTGGAAGAGGTATCAAACAAGGTATCACTACCGATGAAAATAAGGTTACCAAGAAAGCAAAATTTGATGAAGGAGCTTCTACATCATCAATTGAAACCAATGACGTGGACAACAATAAGGTGGAATGTGATACATGTCATGTTTATATTAAGAAAAGGTATTTAAACAACCATTTAAAAAGCAATACACATAAAAATAATCTTTTTAAATCACATAATTCATTAACAAATGTTACAGTTGTTGAAACTGCTTTTGGCAATCGAATTTTAACATATAGAATTAATAGTAAAACACATCAATCGGGGCAATATTTTGAAACACCGGAATCATTTTTAAATTCATTAAAAATCGATATCTTATTTTTGATAAATGAATGTATTCAACAACATACAATTTTTAAAATAAACTTCGTATTGCATGCTGATTTCATACAACAAACTAAAGATATTAAAAATACGTTTGATTTTCAAACGTTTAATTACATAATATGTCAGGGAGATGACTTAAATATTTTTTATTCATCATTAATAGACACAGTAGTCGGTAAAATTTGTCAATTTGAAAAAAAAGATAGTGGTTGGAGTCTTAATCAAATTAAATACATAGATATGAATGTTAACAAATTCAACCCCCTACGTGGTAGTTCATATATCAACCTTCCTCAAGATATTAAATCAAAAAAAGCTGTAATCAATGTTAAAAATAATGATAATATGTGTTTCAAATGGGCATTACTCTCCGGTTTATATCCTGTATGTAAAAATGTAGATCGGGTAGCATCTTACGCAATTCATGGAAATAAACTAAAATTTACTGGTATTTCTTTTCCGGTTAAAATTGCAGATATATCAAAAGTAGAGAAATTAAACAATATTAGTATTAATGTTTTTGGCTTAGAGTATAATAAAGAAAAAAAGTGTAATTCTGTTGTAGGTCCTTTATATTTATCAAAATGTCGTACACCTAATCATATTAACCTACTATATATATCGAATGGTACTAACAATCATTACTGTTATATTAAAAACTTATCGCGATTAGTTAGTTCACAAATATCAAGACAACATCATACAGTTTATATATGTGATTCATGCTTACTTCATTTCCCATCAAAGGAAAGACTTAATAACCATCAACAATATGATTGCGCTCACATTTGTACGGAATTACCAAACGGTGAGGATTCCAAAAAGGATTGGTTTGGTAAAGCAACCTCAAACAATAAATTAAAATTTGATAAATTCGCGAAAAAGTTGGAAATGCCGTTTGTGATTTATGCAGACTTTGAGGCATTTTTGAATCCGATAGAAT